ACCCGTGGCCTTGGTGTTATCAGCACCACACTCTCCCGAGTGAGCCACAGGCCGGCCCGCATTCATTCATTCTTAATGCCACAAGCGAAAACCTAATACAAGGGTATGTCAAAAAGTTCATGGAAAGATTTGTATTGTCTTTTAATTCTATTTCTCCACAAACTTTTTGAAGTACACTTTTATAAGCAAGACACTCTGCTTAAGCCATAAATAAGAAGATATAAAACATGTATGGTCTTGCCTTTAAGGAGCTATTCATCAAGTATGGAGGAATTTATACTGATAAATTATTATTCTTACACTTCAAATAAAGAAATTCATCCCCAAATTAGATGGTAAGTACGTATAAACTTTGTTATACATATTTATGGAAGTGAGTTACTGTGATTTTCTAAAAACCTAAGACTGAGGGGTTGGCAATTAAGGAAAAGCAAATTTTGTAGCCAATATGGAACTTCCTACTGTTAGTTAGAACCTTCAGCCTAAAAGTTCCACGTTGCTAGTGATCTCAGGGATTTTATAGAAAGAATCTTGCATTGGCAATAGTATTGGATTAGATAATCTCTTAAGAGCCCTGTCAACTCTTAGGAGTGTATGAATTAGGGATTAAACTGGGTTATTTTCTAATACAAATCAGCTCATATTTTGTCATCATGTCATGTCTAGATTTGATATTTAGTAATTTCTTTTATTTTCTGGGCCAGTCTCCTATCTCTCTGGGTCAGTTAGAGGCCAGTGTTCTCTAAGGTCACTTCTACTGTAAATTCTAGGATCCTAATTAATAAAGCTTTAAGAGTTATATTCTTCCCCCTTCTTCATGGAGATTGTGCTTTCTCCATTTGTACACTTAACTTTTTTCCCTCGTTCTGGGTTTTTATTTTTATGAACACTAATGAGTAAGTTTGGGGTTGACATTAGACTGAACTCAACAGATACGAACAGCTACTTTTGATCTTTCTGTGATTTAGTACAAACACTTCATCTCTTGTCTGCTATTTGAAGTGTCCTGAAAGAAACACTGAAGTGGAAGGTGATAGAGCAAGGAATATAACAGTATCTTTAAATAAATTAAAGTTATGTAATTTTGACATAAAAGTGAACCCTTTCCTTAAAATTTCTAGCAACTGCTCATAAGTCATAGATTCTTCATTTTTTCTTAATATATGGTGGGAGAAAATAGTTGACCTGTGATTTCTTTTTTCTCCCCAAATTTATAATAAAGCAGTAATTTGATACTGAAGTTTATGAATACAAATCCTCAGATGGCTTATATATGAGGGCTCCAGCTTATAATAATAAAAATAAAGTGTTTCCTGGACCACTTTTCTTAGTAGGTAAGCACTTTTTACCCTGTGTACCAAATTCATTAATTCAGGCTTCCAGACTCTGTAAAATCTGGATCCTGCCTACATCAGCTTAGTGAGTACCACACTCACTGAGCTTAATGTTTCATGTATCCTGCCTTCTCTTCCATTCCTTACACATGCCAAGTTTATTCCAGCCTTAGAGCCTTTGGTCTATGCATCAGAAACCTTTGGCCCCACTTCAGATCCTCTTTGCCCTGCCTTCTACTCCAGCCACTGCTGGGCAACTAGTTTCGTGATAATCCCTTTGGATTCTTGCTGCATTCCTTTCAGCTTGGCCTTACTGAGGTGAAATGCCTGTAGAACTTGCTTGGTACTCATAGTTTCACAACCCAGAAGTGCAAAGGAGTTAGGTGCCCATGGGGCCACCCTTGACCAGTGGTGGAAAGTTGGCTGGTGGATAAATCTTCCTCTTTTCATTCCCTGGGCAGACAGTTCTGAGATGCATTTCATAAGGCTTGGAAGATCCTACAGAATCAACTACCAGCTGCCACTGGCCAATTTGGCAATACTTCCTTATTGGCTTTCCTCTTTTGTTTCCCTCCTGTGCATCTATCCTGCATCCTGGGATCATTTCCCAAACAAATGACTTACATGCAAGCTTTTGTCTCAGGCTCTGTTTTTTGGTGAATCCAGGCTAAGACAGAATGGCCCTAGAAAGCAGACCCTCAGGATGAGAGATTGGAGCGGGTTCACTCATCAAATGGCACAAACCCCGCTGTTGTTTGTAGTAGGCAGAATGATGGCTTCCTCGCAAAGATGTTCATTCATGGTATCTGTGAATATGTTACCTCACCTGTCAAAAGCAAATGTGATTAAGGTTAATGACCTTGAGATGGAGAGATTATCCTGGATTGTCTGGGTAGGCCCAATCTAATCATGTAGGTCCTTAAAAGCAGAGAACCTTTCTCAGCTGTGGTCAGAGGGAGACGTGATTATAGAAGGTTGGGCAGAGAGATTCAGCGTTGCTGGCTTTGAAAAATGGAGCAAAGGGACCAAGAGCCAAGGAATACAGGCAAGGAAATGGGTTCTCTCCTGGAGCTTCCGGAAAGGAACACGGTACTGAAAACACCTTGAATTTGGCCCTTTGAGACCCATGTTAGACTTCTACCTCAGACAAGTATAAGATAATACATTTGTGTTGGTTTAAGCCACTAAGTTTGTGGTAATTTTTTACAACATCAAGAGAACAGTGATGCAGTGTTGGTAACAGGGTGGTGATAACCTGTGGCATTTGGGAGCAGCACAGTCACTATTGAGACTGTCATCTGTAAGTGTAGGTGGAAGATGAAGCATTGGATCCTGTGGTACCTGTGACACTTGAGCAGTGTGGGGGCAATGATAAAGACGGGATTGGGCAAGCTTTTTTTTTTTCCCCCAACTGCGTTGGAAGTGTGGAAAACAACAACCGAAAAAGGACAGGTTCAAATGAGCCAACTGTCAATTCAGGACACACTGTGGAAACCAGAGGGCCTTTAAGGCAAGGTTTAAGAGCCTTATCTCCTGCAGCAGAGGGAAAACTACCTAAAATAGGCCTGGAATCTAACTGTCAGGTTGGAGAAAACTAGGTCTTGACAATTCTCCTTTATCAAAGTTAGGGCTTGATGGGAAGAGAGTGGGACACTGAGACTGAAGTTAGGAATATGGTAGATGAACCTGAAAATGTTGCAAAACAGGATTTCCCTAATGTGGGGCTGGTGGAAGCAGCTCATTCTTCCTTTCCTGAAGACCCTGCCAAGGCTTACAGTGTGGCAGATGCCTGCAAGACAATGCTTGACCTCCTCTGGATCCTTTTCAGTACCTTCATTGTTCTCCGCATCAAGAACCAGGGTGAGGTCTCAACACAGCCTGAGTGGAGAAATGCAGTCCCGGCTGGGAGGGGATAGCGTAGACACTGAAGAAACTGCAGAACCTGCCTAGAAGGTACTGTAAGGAAACAGGAGAATGTGTGAGCGGATCTTGAGGGTGTTGGGCTAGAGGTGGAGGTTGAGGGAAGAATATAAGGCAGGATAAGGGAGAGTTTATTATCGTGGGAACATTTACCCATGACCTAGAGTGAAGGACACCTGAGGCTGGTCCTCATCTACTGCTGGGATGGCTACTGAGGCTTGGGCATGGTTATGGCATGGTAAATGAGGTGGAGATGGTGGAACTGCCTTGGTGTAGTATTGAGGAAAGGGTTGGAAAGTTCCAGGAGGTGTGAATGTTAGGATGGATTCATTTTATGATACTGAATGACCACTGAACTACATTCCCAAGAGGACGTGGGCTTCACTTAGGCAATGAAGAATGCACTGGTGAGGGATGCACCAGGATCTGTGAAAAGCTCAGTGGTGGCTGCTCACTGCAGGCAGGGGCTGACAGTAGGAAATGCTGCTGTGGAACTGAGCATACTATTGTCAGTGGGGATGGGAATCTACAATGGCAGAGGCCATGTATTATTACTTAAATGTCAGAGGCAAGGTGGACATAATAGCATGGATAGTAAGGCTGGAGTGGAAATCGGGGTACCTTGATCTGCAGGGCTTTCTGATCATGCCTAATTATGGAGTTCTGTCAGCACCACGCTCAGCCAGTGAGCAAACCGGCCATCCCTATATAGGATCCGAACC